CTTCGTCGCAATCTATTTAATCTCTAATGAATAGCTGAAACCGAACCTTTGGCATTTCTTTTTTTTTTTTTCGATTGAGATCATCGAGATTTCGAAATAGCGCAAAAGAATTATACTTATATACTTTATCTTGCATTCATTTTTATTTAATTTTCTCTTTTGTTCTTTTTCCTTTCTTTATTTTTTTTCTCTTATATATATAAAACGTTTAACCGGACGACGAAATTAAAAAATGGAAAAAAGTTCGAAAGTTGAGAGATTATTTTTGTTCGATTAAAAACTGATCGTTTGAAAATAGAAATAAATAAATTTTTTTTCTTTATATGTATATATGTATTATATATAGAAAAAGAAAATACGAACGACGGAATTATAAAAAGGAACGATTCAAAGTAGCAGATTATTTACATTCGATCGAAAACTGATCGTTTAAAAATAAAAAGAAATGAATGTTTTTCTTTCTCTTTTTTTTCCTTTCTTCTTTTTCGTACAAGAAAAAAAAGAAAAAAAGGAAAAAAAGAAGAAAACGACGAATTCTTCACGTGGAAGAAGAATTTTAAACGTAACGGAGAGGTCATGTAGGTTCAGCTATTATCGCGAAAGTCTATTAACGTTATCCCGGTGGTAATAATTTTACTCGCGTGTTCCCGAGTCGTTGCACCGTCGAGTATTACCAGTGGCTCCGTAGACGTAAGAGAAAGAGAAAAATATCGGTAGGAACGCTGGTTCCTAGAAATCCTTTGGGAATCGCTTAGCATTGAGGAAGGAAACACGCGAGAACACGAGAGGAAACGTGACGGGGAACGTACGTAAGATGACGACGTAATTTTTTCAACATCCTTTCTTTTATATTCTTCTTCTCCTTCTCCTCCCTTTTTTCTTCTCCCTTTTTCTCTTTTAATTTTCTTTTTTTTTTTTTCTTGCTTTTTATCAATTTTTTTTTTTTATTAGCTTTCGCAGTTCAAACAAAAATTGTTTTCCACATATCGAATATGTCTAACGTGTATCGAATAAAAAGAAAAAAAATAGAGTCCTTCAAGGGAGTCAATCTATTTTAAATGTTGCAACAAAATTGAATTGGAACAATGAGGAGAGAGAAGAAAGTAAGAAAATGGAACGGATTTAAGTTATTTCTTAGCGAAAAAGAAAAGAAAAAAAAATCAAAGCAAAAAAAAAAGAAAGAAAATAAGGAAAAAGTAGTAGAAGAAGAAGAAGAAGAAGAAGAAGAAGAAGAAGAAGAAGAAGAAGAGGGACGAGAAAGTGCCAACGCCTAGACTGGCAGAAGGTCTTTGCTGTAAACGAGGGTGGTCTTTCAAGACTAGGGTCATCTATAACCCTGGCCATAGGTCGTCGATCGTTATCGACGTGTCGTTCTTGAATTTTTTAAACATCGTATCGAGTTGACTGACCGACAGCTACGAACTTTCGTATGTCGTACATAGTAAGTAAGTACCTAGATAGACATATGTACATATATATATATATATATATGTAAGTATATACACATATATGTATGTACGTTTCTCATACGTGATCTCAAAGTACTTATGCGTTTTATTAATATCGAACCTCGTTTCAATTAATATCGAAACACTTTCGATATCAAAAAAAAAAGAAAAAAAAAATAAAAAGAAAAAGAAAAAGAAGAGAGATTAAAATGTCAATTGCACTCGATTTTGCATTTGATTTAAAATAACGATAAATTAAGAGTTTTTGTTTCTTTCTTCTTTAATTCTTTTTTTCTTTTCTTAAATCTTCTCGATCATATTTATTCGTTTCGTGAATTATACTTCTCTATATTGCTAGTGTATCCAGGCATGCTGTCAAAATGATAGCTAGGAATGTTTGCCCGTTGCATAAAGCATGATATTGATTCTAAAATTACGTTTTTCCCGTTAATCTTATATGTACAGGTTGCACCGATCCCGTTATTCTTTATACTCGTTCCTTTCGTTCGACAAATTTATTCAACTTTATCTTTAAGTTTTCATTCTGTGCCTTTTCAGGATACGTATTTTTTTTCTTTTTATTCCATAAACGTAACCTCGTTACAATGGTGTCTCGATATTCATTAAAATGAACAGGATCGGCCTACCATCGATTTATCTTTTAGTTAACTTTTAGTATATTTTTCTTTTCTTAGTTTCTTTCTTTCTTTCTTTCTTTCTTTCTTTCTTTCTTTTTTCTTATTTTTTTTTTCTTCATTATTCTTTTTCCTGAGTCTTTAAAACTGCGACAAGATAAGGAGCGCGGAAAAGCGAAGCGAAAAGAAGAAAGGAACTTATTCGAAGTTCCTTCGAGGAACGTTTGAAGGAAGAGGGTAAGAGGAAGTGGAGGAGAGGGGAAGAGGAAGAGAGAACGGAATAAAGTCCAGTGCTGATTAAGCGAGACTTCTCATTTTTGTTCGTCATCCTATGATCGTTTCTAAGAGGATAAGAAAAAGAAGAAAAAGAGAAAGAAGCAATAATAATAAAATAAATAAAGGGAGAAGCATTGAGTTGAGGAGGAAAGAATAAAAAAAAAAAAAAAAAGAAAGAAGAAAAGATTGATATACCGAGGCCGAGGGTTGCGTTAACGATCGACATTTTTTTCTTCTTTGTTTCTCTTTTTTTTTTCTTTTTTTTTCTTTAGAAAGATTCAGAAAAAGAGAACGAACGCTTTTTTCCTCTTTATACACCCTCTCTTCCCACGCCTTTGATTATTCATGAGCATTTGGAAATAGTATTTTTTTTTTCGTTTTTTTATTTTTTCTTTTGTCCGTTAAAAATTCAACGAAAAATTTCTATAGGAGTCTATACGTCTATTGTAACATTGATAATAAATCGACGATGAATCGACGAATCGATAAAAATTAATCAATTTTTGATCAGAATTTTTTACAAAATATATATATATATATATATATATATATATATATATGTATACATGTACATATCAACCCCCTCTGTATACAATACTGACTTTTCCTTCTGGGGAAACAATATATAAAGGAAAAAAAAGAAACCGAAGGGGCGAAGAAAAATCACGGCGAAAGCTACCTAGGGTATGGATTCCTCCTTTTGATACATTTTTCTTTCGAAAAGGAAGGAAAAGAACAATGGAAGATTTTTCTCTTAGAGAAATGGAAAACACCGGTGGCTTCGTACTTCCCTCAGTATGTATTTCTTTGCATCGTTCAGTAGTCTCTCTCTATCTCTCTCTCTCTCTCTTTCTCTCTCTCTCTCTCTCTGTCTTTCTCTTCTTTTTTTTTCTTGTTTCTTTTTTTTCAGCATTAGGAGGAACACAGTGATACATGATAAAAGAAAATGTTAGATATTGGAGATATAAAAAAGAGAGACCGAGAGAGAGAGAGAGAGAGAGAGAGAGGAATAAAGATATATCCATTATTTCAAAGATACATTTTTCATTTATTTTGAATGTTCTTATGGATTAGAAAGTATCCGGTGTAATATTTAAATAGAACAAGAGATGTGAAAAAAAAAGAAAATATATATATATGTATATATATATATACGTATGTATATATGTATATGTAACTTATAAATACACATAAGATAATATTTTACAAGGACGTATTCGATTTCACGTTCTTTTTCATTTTTCTTCGAGGTTATTTTTAACCGCGTAAACATTTCCTCGGCCGAAGAAAAATAAGAGGAAGTAGTCGAAGTAGAGAAGAAATCTCAAGCGTCATGAAATTTCGTCGATTTCTTGGTGGATCGTCGCAAAATAAAAGCAGAAAATCATTGAACGTGTATAGTAGTGCCCTGGAAACAATCCAGCTATACTTTTTTGTCCCTTTCCATTTGTATTATCCTCATAACCGTGATTCCAAATTTATACTTTAGAAATTTTTCGACGCTCTTCCTGTCTCTTTTTATACATCTTTCAAGTGTGCGTGTTTATCTGCGTACATGGGTGCGTGCGTACGTGCGTATGTGTGTATGTTTCGTGCACATATGTGTCTATCTCTCTTTACAATCTAGACTCATTTTTTACTTAACGATAATTTCTAAGGTTCTATCATATCGATCAACTTAAGAGAGACGGAATAATAAAGAGCACGTCCTTGGGATTTCCATATTTCGAGAATGGAGGCCCCGCATCGTACGGAAATAGGACGAAAATTGCAGGTTATTTCCTTCGATGGCACACTAATTTTCTCTCTCTCTCTCTTTCTCTTTCTCTTTCTCTTTTTCTTTCTCTCTTTGTCTATTTATCTGTTTCTTTATCTCTCTTTCTCTCTCTCTCTCTCTCTTTTTGTTCTGTCAATCCCTTTAATCTCATCAATCTCTATTTCGTACGTTTATGTACAAATCATAATACGCTTTAATATATTCTCTCATGATCTTAACTTCTAACGAATTTGAAAATAATTATCTTTAGTTAAAGAGGAAATAAATATCAAGCTTCTACATTGGTATCGCTGTTTATAGATACATAAATTTACTTGTATCTACGTCTTATTTACTCAATTCTAAGAGTAAATAAGTATCACAGTAGCTTTATCATCATCGGAATCGGAGGATCGTTCTCACGCGACATCTTTACGGCGTTCTCTCACGCTCGATTACTTTTTCTACTATTACTATTACTACTATTACTACTACTACTAATACTACTATTACTACTACTACTAATACTACTATTACTACTACCACTATAATATTACTACTTTCAAGTTTATCCACTTGCTTTCGAGCTGATAAATGTTAAGCTCTTACAGCTTATCCGCTGCCTACGTAAGTCATGTATGTATATATATAATATGTATGTAGTGTATTTATATATATATATATATATATATATATATATATATAATATGAATGTACTCGCCATTGTTGCCAGGATAATTATTTCTAACCCGAATTAAAGCGCGTTTCTTTGGTAAATTTCTCCGAACATTGAAAACACCCACCTACCTACATTTTCTTTCTTTATCTCCCTTTCTCTCTGGCTTTTAACTTGCTTACATAAAAAAAGAAAGAAAGAGAGAGAGAGAGAGAGAGAGAGAGAGAGAGAGAGAAAGAGAAAGAGATTCTCTTAATTTATTCATATCGAGTATGGTGCCAGAACAAAGCTCCTATTCTTCGTTCCCATTTTGAACATGGTTGAGCTCGATAACTTCGAAATACTAGAATCGCTTCAGGTACATCTCGAAATAATATTTTCGAGGATATTAAGTTCATAAAGATTTTCGAAGCAACGACGTTACTATCTAACACGAGGTTTATCTATTTATCTGTCTATCTATCTATCTATCTGTCTATATATATATATTTATATATATATATATATATATATATATATATATATATCGTCAATAACTTTCTTCTTTTTCCTATTTTTTTTTTCTAATCAATCCTCGTGTTTCGTCGAGTATTAATCTAAACGTAAGATATATAAAAGTAACTTAACATTAAGTTTGTACTCTTAAACGAAATACGTTGAGATCAAAATGACGATGATAAAACTATAATAATTTAAAATACGTTCGTTGAAAATGAAACGTCCATTTAAAAATTGTAACCCGTTGCATTTCGTGCGAATGGAGAGCGTTCGTTCGTCTTCAAGTAATACTTCCCTCTGGTTTTCGGATCTACAGCGAATCCCATGAGAGCGTCCGGAGTCCATCTGCAGTTTGCTTGGATTTCCGGTCTCCATCTTGGGCAACGACTGGCTGGAAATCCGAGGGGATTTCTAACGGATTCGACATATAACATCCATGCTCGGTAATGGCCACAGGTGACTGAAAAATAAATAAAGATCGTGGAAGTTTGATTTTTGTTCGAGATCTTAGATGCTAACATGTTCACAGTACGATAGGATATTGTATTTACTTTTTTCTCTGATAAGTAACATAAAACCGCGACGAAGGATATTCCCAAGGCTACATCCAGGCTGCGGTGGTTTACCACCGTTAGGATAAAAGTCAGCATGACCTAAAGGATTTGGAAATCCAAAGATTCCGCCGTCAGTATGAATAACGTCGACGAAAGCCGCGTCGGTAGATGTCAAGTGACCTTCTCTTCCGGTATTCATATACAACGGATAAGCAGCGTCTAGTCCGGTTATTCTTCCGACCTACAACCCATCAAGGCAAAGACACATTTTACTGGACAATGAATTATCAAAGTGTTAAAGCTTATTTGCATATAAATCGAATCCGCAGTCTTTTTAATAAAGAATCTTTGTTGGTATATTTATTCGATACGATCGTGCCGATCGATCAATTCGATCGTAATTTTCTTTTATAATGTCACGTTCCAATCTAAACTCGCCTCTAAACTAGTCCGTATCTACTCGATTATTTATCTCAATTATACTAGAGTTTACCTACCAAACGTGGAGCTAAAGCCTTGCCCATGAATCCGGCTACCTCGGCACCCAAACTGAATCCAATAACATGAATTTTTGATAATGGAACCGCTCTCTGGGCGTCCAACCAGCTGATCATACGTGCTACATGGGGACCAATTAGTCTTGTGTTTGCGACAGCCGTGTGATACCATGGTAACGTCGCCAGTCTTACCCAGTTGACCAAAATGACGTTGTAATCAGCACGCTTCAAATAGACTTAAGAGAGAAAGGAATACAAAAGAAAAAGAAAAAGCGAAAAAAGGAAGGAAAGAAAAAAAAGAGAAAGAAAAGTAAAAAAACGAAAATGTCAGGATGACTTGGTTATCTTCTATATTCGAATGCCACGTTTAACCAGGACCGTGCCAAACTTTTTTCAAGCTACTATTCATCATTCTCATCCTTACGTGAGATACTCGACGAAAACTAGCTTACTAGTGGTTATGTTATTCTACTACTGTTGATGCAGTTACTAATGTATCCAGCCAAGTTTCAACATCGACTTTTTCCTACGACTAACTGGGACAAATCCTTTACGACTTTCGAAGAAATGAAGTATTCAAATGACAGCTACTTGGCTGTCCTCGCTAGACCTTCTCTTCAACTGATATATATGTATTGCACATATAAGTATAATATATTTGTGAACTTTGAAGTATCTTGTAATTTAAAAGGTATAATTCATATGAACGTGTTATATTTTGATAGATAAAATTAATGAATACGATATAATGTCAAATAGATCGATTATAATTTTATGACGTCTTAATCCATTGAATGGGTTTTTCGAACAATCTTTTTGCCATATGGCTCTCAATATATTTCTTTTAGGATCGTACCGCAATCATCGAATTAGTTCATAATATAAAATTTTTTATAATTATGATAGACTCGAGTCACTTTATATTATTTTTAAAAGATACTAAGCTCTTACTGCGGTATTCTCGTTAACCGAAAAGAACTCTTCACGAGAATTATCTTTTGGAATCACTTGCAAATTAATCACTTTCCTCGGTACGATTTAAGACACCAGATATCATTTCCTAACCTGTTAAAAATTTTATGCAATTCATAGATTTGAGAAACGTTGATTTCAGAAGAAAGGACGTATGTTATATCAGTTTCTCATTTAATTGCTATGGACCATAGCAATGAAACGTTTCTACATTTTCCGTTAAATTTGTATTAAACGTAACATACGATCTCATTTCTAATACACCTATTCATTTATCATAATTACTTTTAATTAATTTCTCAATTAAATACAAAATCAATAAATACCATCTCTTACGGCATTTGAACTTTCGCCTGGTGCACTCTCGCTGTATCCATGAATGTAAATGACTGTAGGATTCCTCTTATCGAAGTTACTCCTCTTTAAGGACAGTGGATTCAATATGCTCAACACATTGGCCACGTGTGGATTTCGTCTTTGAAAAAAAACAAAAAAAGAAAAAAAAATATATATAGAAAGAGAGAGAAAGAGAGAGAGAGAGAGAGAGAGAGAAGATAGTCATAGTGAAAACGTTGTATCATCGAATTTCGTTAATTCAGGTAAAATTCGCGAAGTACTTTAATTCTCAGATCTGATGAAAATCAGATATATCCATCAGATAAAACCAGAAATATCAATGATGTTTTCAAAGAGAAAACCGAATCCTTTCCAAAATTTCTACGTTATTTTGAACATAAAACGGACAGGTACAGAGAGGCGAGTATACCTATAGAGATTTATTAAGTAAAATGAAAGGTCTCTATATATCTATACGAATGAAATCGTCATTCCCAAGATAGAAATTATTTCATGGGGAGTTACGATCTTTGAACGTAAATGAAAGGGACTCGAATAACGTCAGAGCCGATGAATTTAAATTCGCGATGGGAATTCTATCCTCTACAGAAAGAGATCGACGCAAAACACGGCTTTGACGCGAGCACAGTAAATGAACGAATGGTGTGCACGGTTACTAGTATCGAACGTATTGCCGTCGTCGTCTCACGTGACGTGATAACGTAACATCCTAGTGTGTTAGTGATTATATATGTATTATGCTAAACCTTTTTTGAACCTATTCTTTACATTCTACGTCTTTGAGAATGAAATCGAAAGAAAAGAAAAAAAGAAAGACAAAAAAGAAAAAAAAAAGAAAAATTAAGAAAAAATATAAATAAAATAAAACAAAAATAAAAGAAAAATATAAATAGAAGTAAAAAGACAAAAAAAAAATAAATAAATAAATAAAGAAAGAAAGAAAGAAAGAAAGTAATTAATCGTGTTCACATAAATGAAAGAAGAAAAGAAAATTGTTACCTTGTGAAGAGAAGATACTCGACATCTCGATCGAGATCGATCGGACAGCATAGTGGACAGGTGCCAGTGGGGAAAGCCATTATGTAGAGGGTCCCAGTATCTGTCGAGAATAAAAAATTAAAAGAAAAAGGAAAAAAAAAAGAAAAGAGCAGGGGAACGTCATTAGAACGGCGCCACTCGGCCGTGGCCATTCTACGCGGTCGTCGTCATTGAACCTGACAGTGGTCACGTGATGTCGCGTGCACCCACGCCAGCAACCATCGCAAACACCTTCTGCGAACTTTCTCTCTCTCTTTCTTTCTTTCTCTCTCTCTCTCTCTTTCTCTCTTATTTCTTCTTTTCTTTTTTCCATCGGCGATATCACAAACAAGAATTGTTCGATGAGAAGTACATATAAATCGGAATACGCAGTCATCTACCTGTCAGTTGTTTTCCGTCATTGTCGGAGTTAGTTGTATGTCGATAAAACTTGATCGATTAATCTTTCTCTTTTGACTTTAGCTAACATATAAATTCCTCGAGATATTCGAGGTATAACTTTTGCATGTCGATTTACACTACCGAGTTACGAATAAGAAAAATCGAAGAAAAGTTGACCTAATAACACTATAGCATGAGCTAAATGATTATTACGACGGTATTTAAATAAATTACTATATAGTTTTACATTACAGTTATATATACAGTAGTTATATATAATATATATATATATATGTATATATATATATATATATATATATATATATATATATAATAACTCGTAAGTTCTTACGAGTTATTTTGTGTGTATGTATATATGTATATATATTGAAGTTATCAAAAATAAGTGGAGCGTGAAACTTTCGCAATGTTTACTATTATAATAAAATAATCATTTACGATCGTCTATATAGAAATGTTTACGACCGATTCTAACTTTTTCGGTTATTAACCAGATCTAGAAATGGAAAAGATTTCTAAAGATTACGAGTTATTTCATGGTTTCTCCGATTCCTCGTAAAACTTTGTCGAATTGTGATTACTGTAATAATACAAGAGAAGAGAAAGTGGAATTAAAAGATTATCTAAGATTTATTATATTGTATAGACGTAACGAATCAAGATTAATCAAATTGATTCATATCGAGGAGAAAAAAATTATACTCGGTAGTATTATTTCTTTTTTTTCTAGTAACTTTCAAATTTGATGTTATATACATACGTATCGAATTGAAATTAAGCTACTTGATATACTTCTAGAAATAAAATTATACGATAGTATTTTTTTTCTTTTTTTTTTTTCCCCAGTAAATTTCAGATTTAATTTTACATACATATGTACATATAGAATTAAGTTTAAATTAGTTGATCCATTTGGAGAGATAAAATTATACTTGATAGTATTGTTTGTTATTTTAGTAACATTCAAATTTAATGTTATATACATACGTATCGAATCGAGATTGAGTTACTTAATTCACTTCTAGAGATAAAATTAATAATTTTGTTTTCCTAGTTACATTAAAATTTACTTTAATAAACATATATACATATTGAATCGAGATTAGACAAGTTGATCCACTTTTAGAGGAAAATTATGCACTGTCTATAATATTTCTTTTCTAGTAACTTTCCTGACACACACGTTCGTTTTCCTAGAATGATAGAGTGAAAGCAGCACTATTTTACATTCGAGACTATACTCTCTCTCTAGACATTCATTGTCGACACAGTGATCTAGTAAATTCACAATAGTGTTCTATGCACGATCTTCCTATAACATAATTCTGTATTTATTCATTATAAAATAACGTCGAATTATTTCGGTGATCTGTGAGAAATTATACGAGGACAATTGAAAAAGTGTTAATTAAATATAAAAAACGTTTCGAAAATCGACACGCTTATTCTTTCCACGTCTGTTCTATTTAATTATACGAAAAGAATAAATTAATAATTATATATTATATTTAAATCGTAATTAAATTTCGATACGATGCTTATTTTACATTGTCTGATGTAATACGAACGAAGTTTGATATAAACAAATATATCCCGACGAATAAAAATAAAAAAATTGATGAATGAATAAATGAAATATAGATTAACAAAAAAAAAAAAATAAAAAGAAAAGAAATAGAAACAAAACGATTCACATAATCGATAACGATCACTTTTTACTACTTTTAAACGAGATAAATCATAATTAATCACCTCTCGTGACGGAGATCACACGACATAGTAGAAATGCAAGGAAATTCGGGAACATTTTATTTCTGGAGGAAAAAACAGAAAACGGAAAAGAAAAGAAAGAAAAAGAAAGAAAGAAAAAAAAACAGATAAATACGACGAACAACGAGAGAGATCAGAGATCTCGTGATGGTCGAACCGACACGATCTCACCGTTGGAGATCTCCAATGGAAACTGAATCGTATACATGAGAAATGAATTCTCGAATCTCCCGCTAGATTTCAGAGAAAGGTAGATTTCAATGATCTACATTCAGCTTAACGCGTTGGAATCTCTCACTCCGATTGGTGTGTTCGTTCGAAAATTTAAGCGAAAAAAAAAAACAAAAAAAAAAAAGAAAAAGAAAAAGTAAAAGAAAAAAAAGGAAAACAATAACGTGACGAATTAGAGATAGAAAGAGACAAAGAAAGAGAGAGAGAGAGAGAGAGAGAGAGAGAACAAAAAAGGAGAAAAAGAAAACAGCAACAAACGAAGAAATCTTTAATCTTTTTCATTCCGTAAACTTGTGTTTCAGTTTATGTGTAACAGCGATATGAATTTTTCGACGATGCATTTTATGAATGTTCGCTTTTTTCTCTCATGCGAACGCAAGCATGCAATTATCAGCCAGCCCTCGGGACAAGACCAGACCAGACCAGATGAGACGAGACGAGACGAGAAAATCGATTCGCGAATCTCGACTAACCGTTGCTTATAACGTTTACTCTACGATACCAACGAAAATTTTATCATCCTGTATGCCACCCGATATACATATGTATATCCATCCATCATTGACGTTGAGTGGAAATCGCACAATTTCCATGTGGAAATTCCATTAACTGCTCGATCGACGTTTCCTATCGAGTATCGTTTCTTCTTTTTTTTTATTTTTCTAAATAAGTGATTCCTGTCTTACTCGAAAATATGAAACAGTTGTTACAAATAATCGATGGATTCGAAATGAAAGAGAGAAAGAGAGAGAAAGTAAAAGAGAGAAAGAGAGAGAAAGTAAAAGAGAGAAAGAGAGAGAAAGTAAAAGAGAGAAAGAGAGAGAAAGTAAAAGAGAGAAAGAGAGAGAAGATTATTTTACTAGATATTTTATACTTTATAATTAATAAAATTGATATATATATATATATATATTATATAAATATAAATAAAAATATAAATATAAATATATATATAATATATATATATATATATTATATAAATATAAATAAAAATATAAATATAAATATAAATATATATATATATATATAATATATATATATATATTATATATATATATGTGTGTGTGTGTGTAATATACACACTTAAAATTTTTTTATAATTTTTTACACACTTTAAATTTTACACACTTAAAAGAAAAAAATAAAATCATTGCAATAATTAATACCTTTTATAATTAATAAAAATTTATAATAAATAATATATTTATAATAAATTGTAATATATAATATTTTTCTTTTACTTTTTTTAATTGTTATTAATAAAAATAAAATACTTAACAATATAATTAATACTTTCTAATAAATAAAACATTATATAATGTAATATATACAAAATGATTTGATCGCATAATAATAATAATAATAATAATAATATAATACTAATATTTCATATATTCGTCAACTAATTTTATCCTTTTAAACAAATTGAAAACCATCGCCCTCTTTTTCTTTGCTTTCGTAGAGATTCATGGAAATAATCGTAATGGACGTAGCAAAGCCTTTCAAGCTTTCTCTCTCGGCGATGGTTTGATTGGAAATAACGATTCCTATAATTAAACTCGAGTGTGTCAACGACGAAGGCGTACTACCTACGAACGTACTAACGAACTAACTAACGAACGAATGAACGAACGAATGAACGAACGATCGAAACGTTCAATCGCTTGGTATCTTCATAAACGCCCACTGGAATAATTAGCTTAACAATATTGAACGATTTGAATCCACTTTGGTACGTAATCGGCCTACCTTTCTTTCTGAATCTCTTAACTGAGAGATTTCTTTCTTTGAACGATTATTTAACGTCTTTAGATTATTTAACGACTTTCGATCGATAGATCAATCTTTTTCTTTTTCATTTTCTTCCTCTTCTTCTTCATCTTCATCTTCATTTTCTTCTTCTTCTTTTTCTTTTTCTTTGTCTTCTTCTTCTTCTTCTTCTTCTTATTTTCTTTTTTCATACTTTTAAACGATACTACTTACTGACCTATCGAACATCGACGTATATTTTATTTCTTCATTTCTTTCTCTAAAGGTCAATTCACATGTTTCACTTTAGTTAATTCAGTTTCAGTTTCGATTATTCATACTCACATATATCAATTCAATATGCTATCAGATATATTAATCAACTAATTAATCTATCTAGCGTTCTATTCTGATCTTCGCTATTAACTTCTAATCGCAAAATTGAAAATAAAAAAAAAATGAAAAAAACAAAAAACAAAAAAAAGAAAACAAATAAATTCACATTAGAGGAATTAGAGTATGATTGCACTTTCCTTGGACGAAAGATATGTACAAATATAAAAGCAAATGGGTTTTGTGGGTTCATAAAACTTGTAGAAAAAAAAAAAGAAATGATCAATTCAATTAGGGAATTTTTGTAACGTTTGAAATAAATAATTCGTACAGACGATGAAACGAAATTTTTGCTTTGAAATTGCTTTGAAATGTCGGGGTATTCGTTCGATTTAAATTTAAATAAAATTGAATATATTTCATATATTTTTTATTTGACACTAATATTTTGATGGACCAATTCGATTAATTTTTCGTCTCTTGACATTTTGTAATATCATCATGGGACAACAACGTGTGCGTATAAAAGACTGCGACTTATCAGAAAACCGTCAGTCATTTCGAAAAAAAAAAGAAAAAAAAGAAAAAAAAGAAAAAAAAGAAGAAAAAAGAAAGGAACATCGTTGACATTTCTGACAAAGAAAAAAAAAAATATGACGTATCGATGACTGAACTGATTGTCAGATTGAACAGAAATGTGTGAGCGTTTATACGTATCTAAATTACAATAACGTTAAAACCAGTGTGATTAAAGAATCAGAACGAGTACTGAACTATTGAAATGATCTTAATCGAAAACTCATATAGAACGATTGAACGATATTTCTGATATTTTTTTTTTTTCTATATTTGCATTTACTTTTTTCTCTAATTTTTTTTTTTTTGCTTTTTTTTCTTTCTTTTTGTTTTTTTTTCTTTTAACAAACATGCCACAAATAAAAATCAAACTTTCGATGGTTTCCTTTCGTTTCGAGCGACCGTCTACCATCATAGACTCGTTTCATAATAGTTATACGCGCTATTTTTATGCGAGCCGTACTAGGAATCGATCGATATAATTCAACTCTTCCTTTTTGCACGTAACTAAGTGTCTACGGCAACGACGGAGTACGCTCGATGACTGTGACAAAGAGAAAGAGAGAGAGAAAGCGTATGTTTGTGTATGTATGTGTGTGTATGTATATGTGTGTATATTAAAGAGGGAGAGAAAAAGAGAGAAACAGAGAAAGGAATGATTCATAACTTTGAAAAACTTCAATCTTTCTTTGTTTACAACGTGAACTTTGATAAAATTCGATAAAAATTCAATCATTCGAGTTTTTGACTTTTCAAGCATCAAATTGTAATGATAAATAAATTTTAGAGAAAAACAGAAAGACAGATACAGAGAGAATGATAGAGAGAGAGAGAGAGAGAGAGATGATAGAGAGAGAAAAAAAAGAAAAAGAGAAAAAGACAGAAAGAAAGAGAGAAGAGAGAGAGATAGAGAGAGAGAGAAAAGTTAAAGTCAAACATTCTTTCTGATAAGATCTCCAATTCCTCTTTTTATTTTCTTTTGCAAAATGCATCGGAAGATTTCAATCGAATTCATAGATTTTTCTCGGCTACTTAGAGGATCCAAGAAGGTCGAAGATTTCCTTCGTAACTTGAAATTCTATTATCTCAAAATACTCTCTCTCTCTCTCTCTCTCTCTCTCTCTTCCTTCCTTTATTTCTTTTCTCTGATTTTTCTCTTTTCCATCTTTATTTCCTTTTTATCATTTTTATTATTTTTTCTCGAAAATATGTGACATCTCATCGTTTCGTCAAGATTTCATTCCATTCGCATCACTACCGCGAGATTTTTCAAAATTACCTTATTTTGTTAAGCAAAAGAAAAAGAAAGAAAATAGAAAGAAAAACATCAATAACAAGAGAGGAAAAAACAACAACAAGAGAGAGAAAGAGAGAGAGAGAGAGAGAGATAAAGGGAGAATAGGAAAGAGAAAGAAAGAGAAATTCAATAAGAAAAAGAAACAGAAACGATATTTTCAAGTGTTGAATAAGTCACGAAAGCTCTCGTGCTTGCTTAGACGAAAGCTTTCTTCGTGTCCTGTAAAAATTTTACGAAAAGAAAAGAGATGATGGAATACTGAAAAAGAGAGAGAGAGAGAGAGAGAAAGAGAGAGTGAGAGAGGAAAAGAGAAAGGCAGAGAGAGTGCAAGA